TTCAATATTAGTAATTCTAATAACAAAAGATAAGGAGTTGATGATTACCTGTTATTTTCCAAAACAATTCTCTTTGCTTCATTGTTTGTCCGTTTTGTTTACGAAAAGATTCTTCATCAGATATGTCATATAATTTATCAATTACATGTACAATATCAGCAAATATAAAATTAATATATACATATATATGTGAAAAAAATGTTAAAAATTTACTAACTAGTAAGATATCTATTATCTTCATTTATGTTGATGTTATCAAAATCAATGAGATCAAATATGTGTCTTGAAATTTTTACAATTTCTTTAGGAACCGGTTCAACCAGAATAGTCCACTTAAAATATATGATAAATGCATGCTTTACAGTTCTGTAGAACTCTTTATTTTGAACAACATTAAAAATTTTGAAAAAATATAGAGAACTCTCGTACAATAATTTTTCAAATTTATAAAACAAACTCTTCTATATAACATCATGTATTTGTTCTCACTGCAAAATAACTAAACAAATAAAAATATATTAATAATTTTAAATTTAATAAAAATATAACAAAATATGTATATTTACATTTTCATCAATTAATAACATGTTCAAACTTTGTGGCTCATCATTATTTTTAAAATCCAATGCCTTACATAAGCGTAATAGCCGTACTTTAATCTTCCAAGAATCAGAATCCAATTTTATTTCATTAAGATGTTGATAATCTCTTGAAGGCATTGTCACTTACCTATTCATTAATTTGAGAAATATATTAGATACAAAATATATAAAAAATAGTAAAAAATAACTATTAATAATCAATATACCTGAATACAAATTATTAAAAACTTCATGATATACAATGTTTTGTGTATATCCTTCTGGTTCATTGTCCTTATTTTCAATTAAAATTCTTAAACCCTATTTTGATGTTACACAGGTGATTGCCACATATAATTGTTTGTTACATGGGAGATTGCCACATATAATTGTCCATGAGTAAATAGAGGTCGCGATAAGTAAATTCCAATATAATTCAAAGTTTGTCATTGACTTTTATTGATTGTCATTGCAAAACAGATCTTCATAGGAAATTGCCTTCGTCTAAGAAGAAACGACCAATTCAAATAAGTTGGAGTCATCACTATCCTTGGAATGAAAACCTTTTTACCCATATTATTTTCTGTAATTATTTCAGCTTCAATTACTCTTCTTGCTAAATGAGTAACAATCAGCCTTGTTCCATTGCATAACCCATCACTTTGGTTCAAATTTCACAGAAGAATGACCAAAGGAATTTCTGACGCGGGTCAAAGCATAGAGGCTGACATGACCAATGGAATTTTCTGACGCGGGTCAAAACATAGAGGATAACATGACCAACGGAAGACAGACACGAGTCAAGAGATGCTGACATGGCCAACGGAATTTTCTAACGCGGGCCAAAGCATAGATGCTGACATAACCAACGAAAATTTCTAATGCGGGTCAAAGCATAGAGGCTGACATGACCAACGAAATTTTAATGTGAATATCATCAATGAAATTGGAATTCAGATACTTTAACTGATATATCTTCAATCAAATTACAGACTCAAGAAGTAGAACACCAAGGTGTGAGATAAACACTTGAAGGGATTTTTGAAAGATAAGGCAATGATTTGCACAAAAGAGATCAGAGTAGACAACATATAAGCAATAGGATATGACGTGATGGTAGAGCCAATATAGAAACTCAGTGTGTAATGAAAAGGTCAAAACATCTCTTCAAACTATGGTACAAAGAGTATTCAAATATCAAGCAATGCAGAAGGGTCATGAAATAATGAAATGGCAAGAAGGAAGGGTTTCAAAATTCAAGGGCAAAAGTGCTTTCAAACTCAACTCATATGAGAGTAATTACGTCCAAATGGGCTATGCCCGGTTCGCATCAAATAAGAGTGTGTCTCCTCTCTTTAAGGTCATTACTCAAAACTCATTGAATTCAAAGGCATGCACAATGGAATTATAAATTATTGAACAATGAATTCACTATAAGAAAGACTTTACCAGAGGGGGTCTGCCCCAGTTTTCTTTTTTTCTTTTTTTCTCTCTTTTTTTGTTTTTATTTTTTTTTTGGTTAACAACAATGGTGGGCTATGAAGCTAATACTTAAATGGAGTGAGTGACAACTATGACCCTTCATCACCGGCCAAATAGATCTACCAAGTGCTGATTTGTCAATTTTTCAAAGATCAAGGATGTCTTGCTTATTAGGACAAAACGCGGTCTAGGATAGAGGTTACAAATGATGGGTTAAAAGGCCTAAAAACAATTAATGGGAGGTATCAAATGCATGGATCACCTCTTGGGAAATTTGATTCAGGGTCTCGTCTCATCATCATTCTTTTTTTTTTTTTCTCTTTTTTTCTTGATTTTTTATCAATGCTTTTCTTACTAGCCATATGGATGGAGATTGATCTTCATATTCTTCTTCAACATGAATCGTGTCTTCTTATTGATTAGGGAGGACTTCATTTTGGAACGAAATGTAAATGGGTAAGGAAAATCAGAACTACATGTGGGTGTTATCATAAAAGCTCCCGTAGTGATAAAATCATATTAACTGCCCCAGTTTCTTCTGACTATTTCTGGATTTTTCGTTTGTCAATTCAACTTTTGCATTGATCTTCCTTGATAATTGCCCTACTTTACTTGAGCATTTTATCCTCAGCAAAGCTACCAAAAGTTCACTTTCTTTTTTTTTTTTTTTTTTATCCTTTTCTGCACTTCTCTTCCATTTATTTTAATTTTTTCTCCCCTTCTTTTTTTTCTTTCTCCTTTTCTTTGAGCTCTTGCTCGATTGCTCTAATTGCATTCTACTTGTTTTGACACCCACTCGTTGGAAAGTGTTTATTGTGAAGAAAAGGCTGATAGAAGGCTCAAAGGGCCAACTAGGGGATTTTATTACACATGGTCAAACAAGCGGTCAAGGATGGCCTCCCTTCATTTCATTATTGACTGCACATCATATATTGAAGAAGCATATGTTGAGCATAGTATATGTCGAGCAAAGCCTCCTTGGATATTCTCCTTCTTCTTTCTCTTTTTTTTGTTTTTTGTTTCTTCTCTCTATTTTTCCTTTTTTCTTTTTGTTTTTTTAGCCCTTTGATGATCCCTGAGGTATATCCTGTGGGTTTGGCTAGCTTGCCAGAAAAATGTTTAATGCATAAACTCAACTGGTTAACTAGCGACTTTTATGAATTCAACGGATTACTTAGGAAAGAAGAATGGCCGAGGATGGCCTCCAATCCTTTCTTTGATTAATCGACAAAGCACTAGGTTAGGATGGTGCCTTTATTTTGTGCCGACTCAGGCATTATTCAAAGGGAATGTAGCATTTTTTGGCGGTTGCAATTTTGCCCCAGTTTGGACAAAGATGACGACTTCACTACGGGCTGGGAGGTTACTAGGAAGTTCAACTAAAAAGCTCTTGATCAACAACTGACTTTTCTTCAGGCATGCTTTTGGGACTTTGAGAGGAGGCAGAATCTGCCTTCTACGAATAGACAACCCTAAATGGACTAATCACTCTCCTATGTGTAAGCATCTCGGGTAAGGGAAAGAGAAATTGGGAAAATAATATTCTATTTATGGAAGTGACCGGATCCAGGAGATATGCTGCTCTACGTACCCCTTTGCAAGGGATTAGGTTGGACGTAGTTCAAAATGGAACTAAGACCGACACCCTTGGCTCTATTAAGGAGGAAAGCAATCAAATTTGCTAGCTAAGAAATGATTGCAAGAATTTGGAAATGATTTTGAGCCACGACTCGGTAACTGATCTGGTCACTATCTGATGAGGATTTGGCCAAGGACTCTCAATGGTGCTTTCTTGTTAATATAACCTAGTTAGCAACTACTTCTTTCTTTATTTTGTTCTCACTCTCTCATTCTTTCTCCTTTTTATTATTCTTTGAAAGTTTTGAAAAATTTTTGAATTTGAATTTTTTTATTTGTTGATATTTCCCTTCTCTTCTTTTTTTTTATCCTTTTCCCTTTTTCCTTTTTCCTTTTTATCCGTTTTTAAATTTTCCTCTTCTTGTTGTTTCTCTTTCTTTTCCTTCATTTATTTTTTATCATTTTTATTATTTTTATCCCTTTTAGATGATTTTTTACTATTTAGTTTTTTATTATTTTTTATTATTATTATTTTTGTTTTTGGATTTTTAATTCTTAATTGACTTAACATTTTTTATCATTTATTTGATTTTTGGATTTATGATTTTTTTTCTTTTTAATTAGTTTCTGATTTTTTTGCATTTAATAGTTAATTTTCCCATTTAAATGATTTGGGTTTTCTTTCCTCATATTTCTTTTCTTTTTCTGAAATTTGGATTTTCCCCCTTTTTTTTGATATTTTGGATTCTTCCTCCCCTTTTTTTTTTTTTGAATTTTGGATTTTTTTTTGAATTTTCCTTGACTTATTTTCCTTTTTTATGGATTGTATATTTCTTTTTGGTTATATTATCCAGATTTTGAACTTTCCCATTTTAGTTTGGATTTTTTTCTTATTTTTTATTTCTTCTTTTTTATTTTCCTTTTTGTATTTTTGATTTTTTATTATTTTTTCCCTTTTTTGTTTTTCTCTTTTTTTTTGAAATTTTGGATTTTTCTTCCTTTTCTTCCTTTTTGATTTTGTATTTTTCCCATTTTGATTTTATATATCCTTTGGACTTCCTTTCTCTTTCTCATTTTTTTGGATTTTTGGATTTTTTCCATTATAATTTTCTATTTTTTGTAATTTTCATCTTTTTTCTGGATTTTCTCTTTTCTTTTTTTTTTATTTTTGGAATTTCTCTCCTTTTTTATTTTAAATTTTTTTTGATATTTTGGATTCTTCTTCCACTTCTCTCGTTTTTTTTTGAATTTTGGTTTTTTTACCTTTTTTGGTATTTTGGATTTTTTGCTCTTTTTTGCATTTTAGATTTTACCTTTTTTTTTTGCATTTTGTATTTTTCTCTTCTTTTGAATTTTGGACTCCGTTTTTTCTGAATTTTAGATTCCCTTTCTTGTCGAAGAAGTTGCTGTTCCAAAGTAAGCATCTGTCCATGCTTCGCTCATGATAGGCTCTCCAGCAGATCATTGTGATGTTCCCTCTGTAGGCTCTGACCAAATTTTGCTTGGATAAGCTGCTCTAAAGATGGATCAGGATGTCCTGGAGGAAGAGATTTTTGCTGCAAATCATGTAGAAGGTGTTGCCTGAAAAGAACCTGATGAAGCATGCTATTAGCTCTAACTGGATCAAGATGTGACTGCACAAAGCCAGCATCCTGCATCTGGTGATGCAGCAACTGCCGAACTTGTGACTGCTGCTGCTGCAACTGCATTTGCTGCTGATGATGAAGTTGCTGCTGTTACAACTGATTCTACTGTTGGAGCTGAAACTGCCTGTGGTGTTGTAGCTGAAATTTCAGAAGATCTAAATCAGTCAGAGGTTGACTCATTGACTGCTGATGGTGTACAGGATTCCGGCTCTGAGAAAGAGCAGAACCCGGCAATTGCTCTAGAACTGACCCATTCAAATGCAAATGGTGATGAGGAGACAATAGATTTTGTTGTCGTAACTGTTGATTTTGCAACTGCAGTGTCATTAAATGTCCGGCTGGATCATAGTGGTTTGGTTCTTTTTCCATTTGCACCAAGTGACGAGCCTCAAATGCATCTTGATGTAAATTGGAGTTAAGTGTATTCCTTCTATAACCATCAGACAATGTCTCTCCAACAAGAGGTCTATCAGCCATTGCACCAAATGAGTCTTCAAACTGCTGGAGAGATGACAAATCAAATAAAGAAATTGCATCATCAGGAAGCTTGGTACTGATATCAAAAGAAGCAGCTGCCTGAATGTCTTCAAACTTCGGGCTTACAAGAAATTGCTTGACTTTGTATTTACATAATGCACAGTGTAATTGACAATATAAATAGTAGGAGACTTTAAGGGATGCCACAAAGCTAAAATAGATGAAAGGTCCATGTGTTCCTCTTAAGGAAAATGAACAACCAACAAAAGAGGGAGTAGTCTAGGATCAATGACAGAACAAAAATGGAAAATAGTCGAAATAATGTAATTTATGTGAAAAAATTTAACAGTTTCCAACGCATTCACATAAACAGCAAACCATTCACATGAAGATGGAAAATAAGGTATACTTGGAAAATGCTTTACAAAAACAAAAAGGAATAGTAGTGAAATAACCTGGAAATAATGTAGATATACTGGGCTCTAAAACTGAAAAGCAGCCCTTAGCATCTATGGATCAGATTCATACTTACTCATCTAAGCACATGTGTATTATTAGAAAAAGCTAGTTATTGATAAAAAAGAAAGAAAGAAAGAAAAAGTGAAATAGATTGAACTAAATGAGGACCCATTATGATATCTTTGGTTCCTGCCCATAAAGAATAAAAAAAGTACATATGAGTTAAGATTTAAGTGTAAGTTTTTCATCCATACTTTGGCACAAGAAATATAACCACTAATTTCAAGGTTTCACTGCATCTCTTGCTTGTCATTTGTTTTATTATAAATAATTTCTTTTCATGAAGACACTAGCTATATTATAATAGCTGAATTTGGTGAGGCTTGTTCCAGACCTGGGCTTGGCAACTAACTGAACTGTTTTCCACTCATCATCCAATACTTAAAGAATAATATAAATACATACATACATTAAAAGAACTGGCGTTCTCAGAAAACAAAACATAGTCTTAAGGATTGAAAAATTAAGAATTATGCATGAAATATAAAACATAACATAGCAATCTCCTCAAGATATTTTTTTTGGTGGGGGAAGACAAACTATTCTGTCCTGACACTCACTTGGTATGTTATAATGTTATCTACGCCAAGCTTCATAATCTTTCCCAGCAAGGATTTCTTATTTTGAGAAAAATTGTAAGGATTGCCTGTACTTCCACCATCCCCATCATAAAGTATAAATATCCACCTATGGGTTTGTGAGCATCAGAAAATCGCTCATTTTATCACTTGGGCTAGAAATGGAATTACCACCCATCAGATACGGAATTAGAGGTGATGGGACCTACAAAATCAACATCGAAAAACATGTTCGGTTTAATAGTGACTCTAAATCCCAGGCACTAGCTACACCAGACTAGATAGGTCTCGGATGGGAGAGGGAGGGGGTTAGGCACTCCTCTCCCAGGGCCAATAGGTGGGGCCCACATGGTGATTCCAAAATAAGCATAATTGCAAACAGATGATAAAAAACAACAATAATAAAGAAAATAACAAATTTCCATCAGGTCCAAAGTGTTCCCTTCCATACTTACAGACCAATCCCCTTTTAGATGCAGGGGCTTGAGCAAAAGAGTGAAAGATTACTCCCTCACCTCTTTTCTATCAGAACCCCACATTCGGACTCGGTGGAATGGTTGGGAGAAGGAGGAAATTCAAACTTCTTGGTCCGATTTAGGCAAACATCAAGATGAATGAAATTAGTAATAATGAGCAAACCGAGGTCTATAAACAGATAAGATGAACAAACTAGAAAGAAAGAGATAATGGAGCGATTAAAAGAAAAAACAAGAATACAGTGTTGAGATCGTAATTCTAATTCAAAATTAATTCAATAATCTGACATGATTAAGCACAATAAACAAGTCATCTGAGAGATATGAGAGATAGAATGGATAAGAACAAGAGAAAATCTAAGAACAATAAAAAAGAGAAATTAAAGAAATAATAAAAAAATACGAAAAGATGTTACTAGATTTGGATTTGGATGTCATCCAGTGTTAGAATGATGCGACGGGGGAGATCTCAGTTCGGTATCATTGACAATGCCACTATTGCTGTTCTGTTTTCATCAGGGACTGCTTCAGCCTTGAGAACGGCCACTGCTGTAATCGGTTTCAGTATGGCTTTGGCCTGAAGGAAATTCTTGGACAAATGTTGCTGCCGCTGCTCTGTCCTTGTTGGGGAGAGTGTCGAACAGTCGAATAGTCGTTCAATGGTGAGAACAGAGGGTAAAATAGGAAGGGAATGGCCATTGGTTACTGGAGGCTCAAATCCCCTGTTCGAGTTCGCCGGGTTCGAGTGCAGATAGAAAGCGAGCTTCACCTCTGCAACATAACTCCCTTGTTCTCGCTGGAATGTACAATGAACAACTGGTAAAACAAAGGAGAAATTGATGGAGAATAAGGAGAAAGCAATGGAGAGGGAAAGAAATGGATGGAAGAATTGCCGGAGGAAGAGATTTGCCGCCAGATTGCTGCTATTCAGTTGTTGCTGGTTTGACTCGAAGGAGGGAGAGAATGAACGGTGGGTAACAGTGGGATTTCAAAGAAGAAGAAGAAGAAGAAGAAGAAGAAGAAAGAAGGAGAAGAAAAGGAGAGGAGGAGAGAGAGGAGAGAGGTTATTGCCAGGATCCGCTGCTGCAACTAGCAGAACAGAGGAAAGAAAGAAAAAGGGGGNGGGGGGGGGTGAAGCAACAATGGGGAAGAAGAGGAAGAAGGAAGAAAAGAGGGAGACAGAGGCCGGAGACGGGGAAGAGCTCGCTGTCGCTAGTTTCTTCGCTGCTCTGTGCCACTCAAACCGGGGAGAGAAGAGAGAACCGAATAGTCTGAATGAAGAAGATAGGATATTATTTATATTAAGGTTAAGGGGCAGTTTTGTAAATTCAGGTGTGTTTTGGTAATTTTCAAAAAGTTGGGTCAAACCGGGTCTAAAGGGGTCAGGCCGGGTTTTGGTTCAATGGTGGGGATTTTTTGGGTCAGAAATGGAGGGTTGAGATGGGTTTGAGTGCTGAAGAGGGGTTGTGTCTATGGGCTAGTGTGAGATTGGTCGAAATGGAATCTTTTTAGATGAATGGGTAAATGTAGGTATTTTTGGCTAAAATTTTGCAAGGTGGGGTTTTTAGAGATTTTAGATTGATTGGTAGGGTTGGATTGGCCCAATTGGCCTAGATTGGACAGATCTGAAAGGGGTTCCATTCGATTAATCTGTGACCTCAAAATGGAATCTTTGTTCAATGAAGGGGTAAATGAAGGTAGTTTCGGGTGAAATTTCACAATGTAGGATTTTTGGGTAGTCTGATGTGATGGAATCTTGGTGCAATTGGGTGGATCGGGTAGATTTAGAAGCCAGTCAATTTGGAGCCATAAAATGGAATCTTGGTGCAATGGAGGGGTAAGAAAAGGTGTTTTGGGATGAAATTTTACAGGTGGGTGTTTTGGGAGGTCTTGGGTGTTAGATAGTGTATGCCCTTAGCTCCAATCAACATGATGTACATTATGATATTTATTGTAAATGAATAAAGTACATATTTGATTCATGTTATTATGGTGTGTTTCTGTGTAATACCCTTAAACTGGACACGTATGAGACTCGTTTAGTTTAGAAACTTCACACCCGTTGGATAGATCTGGGGAGATTTATCTTGCCAAGGCTGACACTGATGTGCTGCCAAGTTGGTTGGGGTGGCTTGTCTCAGCTACTAGGGTGAGACTTGAGTCAGATGTAGTGTGGGTTTTCTAGAAACCCTGAACCGGACCAAATTCCAGTATTGCCCTGGACCTTGGAGACAGATGGGCAAAACTGGAATGTTACACCTGACCCCTAGACTCGATTATAGTACTGCACTAGGTGTCATTGGGTTGTCTTTGATATGCCAATCAGTGAGATCCTTAGCGGGGGTCAAAACCTACGTATGTTGGGGTAGTTTGAGAATTCACTTGAGTGGGTGATCATAGTGATATGATCAGCTCCTTTGTCGGACAAAGTGAATGATTAGGGAAATGCACTATCTCTTATGGAAACCTAAACTTCCAGTAGTGGATTTCAAATGTGCTTGAAATTGGGTTTTGCAAAATATATTTATATAGAGATATACTTATATATTATGTTTTCACAAATTGTTTGCAAAATGTTCTGATTTCCGATATCCATGCGAGTAAAAAGTGCAACATTGTACCTTGCAGCTGAGGGAGAGGTCTTCTCTTGTCGAGTATTGTTTGATCATTATGGACTGAGATGTTAAGTGTAAGACCATTGAGGGTTATACCTGATGGGCTAATCTTGCATCTTCCCATAGTCCTTAGGCCTTCATAAGATGGTTGGACCCAAGAACCATTTAGTGTAAATGTTGGGCCCATTAAGAGCCCTTGGTGATGGACTCAGGGGTTCACTGCATTTAACAGTGAATTCGGCCATGCCTTGTAACAAAGGTTGGGTTGAACCCATGTGGTTGGTGTGTAGATCAATGCTAGGGTCCCACACCATACAAAGAGAGCTAAGCTAGCCAACATTAAAAGGAAGTGAGCTTGAAAGCTTAATAGGCCTAAAGCCCATTTCGAACTGGGTTAATTGGATTAATTAAATAAGGGCAAATCTGGGTATGGATAAGTAGATAAGGATAAAAAGTTAACTCTTATCCATTTAAAGAATCCAGATCCAAATAGAGATTTGGATCAAGGATCACCTAATTTGATTAGGAATAACTGATCTTTATCTGTAGATAAGATAAGGGATTATCCTTATCAATTAAATAGTCCAAATTTGGATCAGGAGACAACTATTTAGATTAGGAGGTTGTTTCTTTAAAGCTATAAATAGAGAGCAGGGCGGACCTAAAAAAGACACACAAAACAAAAGACAGCTCAGTTTGATTGTTTTTGCCTTAAGTTCTTTTTCTCCCTGATCTTGCTGCCCTACCCTGTTCGATCTCCATTTCTTGGAACTAATCAAGATTGCATCTTGATATTGTTTCTTGTTAGAAGAAACAATTTTGAGGTTGTGCTCACTGCCCCATTCGATTCTTGCTGAAAAATCACAAGTTCTTGGTGAAGAACTACCTGTTGATCATGCCTCATCCTAAGTTGTGTCATCTTCAGTGGAGGGAAGATTTGGTACACTCATTGGGCGTGAGCACTTACATATGGAGGAGATTTTTGTGTGGATTCCATATCAGGTATATCCCTCCCTAATCTTGGTTTCAGATTTGGTCCGATTTGGTTACAAGAACGAGCCTTGAAAATGCAGTTTTTTAAATTGGGAATAGGATTCCCGGGTGGGGGTAAAGAAATTTTTGAAATTTCACCCAACCTTTCTACAGGGTTCAGCCATCCATATGATGGATCTCCCATCCCTTCAGTGGTATCAGAGCCAGGTTCAAGTCTTGAACCAAATTAGATCAGACCTGGATCTACGCAAATGGGCAGAAGGTGTTCTACCCGATTTGCACAGTTAGTGTTTTTTCTGGGAATTGGTTCCTAGATTATGGGCGGATGATCTATAAAATAAATATTTATTATTTTGTTATATTTACAGAACTGTTCTATGAATGTTTCTTGAATATTTGGGCTGCACATGTGATGGAGATCGAATCTTTTTGGTGCCAATATTGGTGCACCCTGCTATTTCTTTTCTATTCAATCTGGTCTGTAAATAATTTTTTTATTTTTTATCTTTAGACAAATTGTATAGGAATTCGATGTGATGTAATAATAGAAAAATTAGGTTTTTCTATTTTATTTCCATCTGGGGATTGTTGGAGTGTGCAACAGAGGAGAAGAAGATTGTGCAGAAAGAAGTTTTGTGATCTGCGATTTTGCAAATATCGATTCTTTGCAGGTTTGCAGGATGTCCAAGAAAATCACAGTGCAGCCCTCTGATTCCGTTTTCTTGATAATTTGATTGTCTAGATTTAATTTATTTTTCCAGATCATCATTCTTGAATTAAATCTTGAATTTGACACCAAATCTTGGGCCGATTTCTACCAAATTTGGTCCAAACTGGTGCTCTTGACACCCTACCCTGTTCGATCTCCATTTCTTGGAACTGATCAAGATTGGATCTTGATATTGTTTCTTGTTAGAAGAAACAATTCTAAAGATGTGCTCACTGCCCCATTCGATTCTTGCTAAAAAACACCCTACCCTGTTGATCCTACCTCATCCTATGTGTCATCTTCAGTGGAGAGAGGATTTGGTACACTCTTTGGGTGTGAACATCTACATTAGGAGGAGCTTTTTGTGTGGATTCCGTATTAGGTATATCCCTCTCTAATCTTGGTTTCAGATTTGATCCGGTTTGGTTATAAGAATGAACCTTGAAAATGCGATTTTCTAAATTGGGAATAGGATTCCCGAATGGGGGTAAAGAAATTTTTGAAATGTCACCCAACCTTCCTGCAGGGTTCAGCCATCCATATGATGGATCTCCCATCCCTTCATTGGGTCTGTTGGTGGGGTCAGATCTAGTGGTTGAGGTGTAAGTACGGGTCGATTGAGGCTATCAGATTGGTGTCGGACAGGTCAACGGTGGATCTGAGGGCTATCGGGGTGGAATTTAGGTTTTCTGGGTTTTTGGGTGTTTCAGAGAGGTTGGAAGGGTTTTTGGCCTACATGGTGCAAAGAGAATTGGGGGGTTTTTGGGTGTTTGGGTGAATTGGAGGTTCAAGCGGCGGACCAAGCAAAAATCGGGTGCTAACATGGTGCAAAGAGAATTTGGCCTACATGGTGACTGGTAAATGGCAGGCCCATTGTAAATATCCTTTTGACTTCTATAGGATTGGCTCTTGTTGCCTGAAAAACACATCAAATTTACAATTTGATTAGGTCTCTGTCAAACTGAAATAACTACTGCCAACAAGTATATGGATATGTACTAAGGAAACTTCTGATGTGGTACCATTAGCAGTGAATTCTGAGATGACACTATGATACTGGCATGGAGAAGCCCCATTATCAGAACCCAGCTTTGAAGGATCACAGTTCACATCTGAGTTACATGAACATCTTCCGGAACATCCTGGCCGCTTAATCTTATCACAATTGAATGAAACAAAGAAGCGGCCATTTTGTGCATAGTTTGGAAGAAATGCCATACCCATCAGACCAAACTCAGAACTGAAATAAACTTCATTTGTTAAATCCACAAAAGGATTTAATTCATCAAGCTCTAATGTTTTCCCAGAATCCTCATCGGGAACAGTTGCCAACCATATTTTACCTTGCTGGTCAGATAAGAAGATACGGTTGGATCCATCAGGATGAGCAACCAAGTTAAGATACGAAGATCCATTCCCAATTTTCTCAAGGCACAGACCATTTGGAGGACTTGGAGTTTCAGCATTATTTAATGAAATTGGTTCACCATTAAAACACATTGATCCATTGCTAGAATCTCCACCAAATGCATTGCAAAATTCACTTTTTGACTGCCATAGGTCGATCAGCTTTGAATAAGTCGAGTTACCTGGGACACCAGCTCTACGTTTTAATGAGGGGGCAAATGGAGAATTTAAAATAGAAATATTTTGGCAAGTATCTCAAACCTCTTGCCACAGAAGTCACACATATGCAAATCTTGCACACATGAA